TTGTGAAAGTCATAAAGATGAAAACAGGAAAACAAAACAAACCTACACACTTCAGTAACATTCTAGGCTTTGGATAATTAACAAAATATTAATGAATGGTGATAAAATCAGGTTCAAAAGGGAAAAGAAAAATAAGCTTAAAGGGCATCAAGTATTCAAATATTCTTAAGCTTTTCGCTTTTGTTTCATGCTGGAAACATGACAAGACGAATAACACTTGAACCTGCCAGCTGGCAGAAGTCTGTCTATTTTTTGTGTGGTGCTGAATATTGTTGGCCCAATATATTGTAAGAAATATTCACAACTAATAGAAGGTGAAAATAAAATGTAGATATTAGTGACAGGTCTTTGCTGACAACTCAAGGAACAAAACAGTGAATTAATAAAACCTTCACCCGGTATGTCTGAAGTTTCAGCAGCTTCACAAACTGGCATTTGATTAATGTTCAGCCCTACAATCTTTTCTGCTAGTGCAAAAAATATATATATTAAATCCTATGCGTTGTTATATTGACTGATTCTGTACTTTCCGGATGACAGGCAAGTGAACGACACCAGCAGCCCTGCAGTGATTCAGTAAATCTGTAGCATGCAAGACACCTCCAAAAAAAACAAAGTTAAACTCATGAATGCTGAGAAAAAGGAGGCAGTCAGTGGAGAGTGTCTCATGTCCACTCCATCGAATACACCCCTTTTTTTGTTTTTCAGTGTCTGTGTGACCTTCTCTGTGCTTTCTCTCTCTCTCTCTGTGTGCTCTACCCTCTCACTTTCACCACGACAAAGAGGCTATATGAGCATGTGCATATGTGTATGACAGAGAGGCAAAGTGAAAAAGGCTCAAACTGAAGTGGCATGATTTTCTAACAATGTGGCGTTTAGAAGTAGCACTCACATCTCACGCTTTCTTTCTCTTCCACATATCCCCTTTTGCTTTCATGAGTAAATGTTAGAAGTTCACATTTCCTATCTCTGAAATGCCCCTTGTCTGATTTACAATCTTCTCTGTTGCTTGTTTTTCACAGAATAAGCAGCCTCTGTGTGCGAGTGTGTTTGAATGTGCTGTATATGCGTGACAGTGGCTCTGTGTGCACAGCAAAGAGTGATGCGAGTGCGTGCCTGAATGATTCAGTCGGTGAATGAAACCAACAATGAGACACAAAGAACCCAGGGAGTGAAGGCGGCATATAGAAAGGCCAAGGTGAGAAGTCCCGTGACTGTTTTTTTATATGCAAGTGAGGTCTTTACACTGACTGCACACCAAACCATGCAGACTCTGAGTCACTATGGGGACCTCAGTGTTGGTGTCTTCTGTGACAGACTGGTCCATTCTGTTTCAATGGTTTAAGGTGTAGTTTAGCTTGTGGTTAGGTTGGGGTTAGAATTAAGGCAGTAGGGAATGCTGGGGAATTAGAGTTCCCATAGGGATAGTAAAACAAATGTGTTTGTGCATGTAGGTGTGTGTATGTGTCAGTGATTTTATGTCAGTAATTATTGATGCTCCGTATTCCATGAGTAATGGTGCGTAGTGCTGACACTCTGCTACAGGTTAACGGTGTAGCGCGAAACACGCTCAAGCACATGGGGTGAAACACACTGGGCAAAACACACACACATGTATACACACATATATATACTGAACAGTGCACCCCCCACCCCTCCCATCTTTGACAAATAAAGTACAATCTGCCACATAGCTATTCCAGCGACTAGTGCTGGAAAGGAGCAGTTCGCTGTCATTAATGTCTGTGAAACTGTGGAGCGAGACTGATGAGATTTCCTGATTTACACTTTTTAAATGGCCCCAGTCTGGCAATTGGAAACAAGCATATTCCTTCAATACGCATCAAGAGTATAACCCAGGGCCTATGCATATACTGATATTGAAGAGTTTCAAAAAGACCAACTAAAATATTTATATTTATTAAATTCTTTTTATTTTTATTGGTGTGGGGCTGTTACAAACTCGGTGTAATAATAATTGTGCATTTGTATGATACATTACATCTACAGTAAACTTATTTTAGTACAAATATCAGTCAGTAAGGAATAGACGACAAAACCAAATTATAAGGATTTTTTTAAAGGAGTTTTTGATTTGACGTCCCAAACTCATGAACGGTGCATAGGAAGAGTAATTTCTGTTATTTCATAGGAAAGTGGTACTGGAAGTGGAATTTTTTTCTCAGCTCATCTGTCATAGCTGTTTCAGTTTTACGACAAACGGTTACGACAAACCATAAACTAATTCAGTGAAACTGCATCAGTCGCTTTTGCAGCTAAATTTTTTAAAAAACTTTCAAACTAAGTACCAAAAAAAAAAAATATCAGCCATATCTCACTGCATGAGAGGGTGTACGGCTTCTAAACCACCCACCCATGACCTCCTGCTAAGATTACAGACCTGAGACATTACCCCCAGTGACTTTTCAGCCTCTGAATCTTCCAGAACAAACTGTTTGCCTCTGAACTGGCACTTGTCAGATCCTTGGTGTTTGAACAAGCCTACAATGTCATCCTAGAGATGACCTGGATGATGAAATACCACAATGATGTAATTACAGTGAAACTGAGTGACATGAAAATAGAAATGCCAGTCATAAGGGTGACACAAACGGTGATATATTGGAAGATCAGGGTACAATAAATATCCCTAATTAGGAGGTGATGTGACATGTAATACTTAGAACAAAACAGAAAACTATCTCACATCTGAACAAAATGTCTTTCAAAGTTGTTAATTCTGGGACTGAAGTGAGGAGGTGGAAAATTGTGAAGTATTACAGATCGCAGCTACTGTATGACAGACAGCGGCATACACACAAATGCAGATGACTCAGGGCCTATGTGACTAATGGAGGGCACAGACATACACCTACTGTAAATGCGAGCATAGGCTGACACAGCCAATGTAGCAACAAATGAACAGGGAACACTTGCACCAAGGAACCACTTTGACTGTGTACTGAAACGGCAGAATGCACTGGCAGAGAGAGATAGAGTGAAGGCAAGGTTAATCTTTTGCTTTTTAAACAGCCTTAGGTGTGTTATTATTACACGATTAGAGCCAGATTTCCCCATGTGCCCAATGAAAACTGTTTAACCACAGCCGAGCTGCAGCGGACCTTAACCTGTACAGAGAGAGTGAGAGAGAAAGGGAGAGAGGGGGGAGCAATACTGACGACCATCCAAACCAGAAAAGCTGGTACTAAAAAGCAGTCAAAGAGCAATGTGTACAGACAAAAGTCACAGACCGTCCATGTCCCTACACTATTTTGCGTTTCATTCCACTAAGAGAAGAAGTGAGAATGTTACAGGAGAAGAGGGGAGAAATGTTTTAGATAATTTCAGTGTTTGGTTACTCAGCCGTTTTGCGGGACACAGCTGTTTTTCGGCGCGTCGACCCTGCTCGCCATCTCCAGTCCGTGCGCCTTGCGCCGCGAGCACAACGACCACCGTGCTCGGGAGCGCACAACGCAGTCACTGTTAACTGCTAAGTGAGCCGTGAGTGATCGGAGCTGATTAAAACACACAGATTCGACCGCGCGCACAAACACAGAAGACACTCATAGGAAACGTGATACTAATGCCGATGATTTGTCATTTGTCTTTAAAACGGAGGCGTAAAATCGCGCCCACGCTTTAAATGCAAAATATTCTAAAGCCTCGTTCCGATTGTGCTTCTTGCTTTTTTCCCTCCTCTGAGTCAGGTGGTGTTACCTGAGCAAAATTAATAATATCTCAGCTCTATTTTACAAGTGCTCTTGAGCACGAGAGTGAAAATCCTTTGCGCACTTCGGGCGCTGTGAATAAGAACCCCCCGATGTGGATTCAGTTGATCTTATAAGACCAGTTAAACTGGAGTGTCGTGGTTTTTACGAGTCAGGTCAGATTTATAAAAAGGGGCTTTTAAGTTCTGCAAATAAGTCAGTTATTCACTTAACTGGATAATGGAGATATTAACCGCTCTCTTCTTTCTTAATGTGTCCAATTCCCGACAAAGACAGAATCTTATTATTGCTTCTTTTAACTTCAATTAACATAGGCGAGTAAGGCAATTACTAGTCGTTTTCTCTGTTCGTCGACACTCGAGTACATTTTAAAAGAAGAAAAATGGTTGATTTTCTTTCCGTTTGAGGGACTTCGTGTCATTAAAAATCCTTTAGATCTTTTTTTCTTTTTTCAAACAAGGGACAACCTCTAGAGCTTGTTTGAAGTGTGCAGCAGAAAATGTTTGCAAACAGTCAGTGCTGATCCCGCCCCCCACTATAGAAAAGCAAGTATAGTTTTGTCCAGGAAACACTCAGGTCTTTCCTCTCAGAGAACTCAAACTGGCACATGAGCAAGTCAGCAACTAGCCAGGGTTCGCGTGTCTCAGGTGGCACCAGTTAGAATGCATCTGTCATTTGAGCTTGGACTCAATTACTTATTATTCTACACACATGAGGGGATACATGAGGCGTCAAGGTGAATACTGGCTATTCGGTTGTTATTTAGGAGACGAGAAATTGCCTTTTCTGGGAATTTCTAGGCAAGTATCGTGATGTTGGCATAACCCCCTGTCGTTGGTTACCATCTCAGTAAAAAAGCAAAAATGGTGTGAATTACTTTAACTTGGTCAGTGTGACACTTCTAAGACACTTAAGTTATTATTAACATTGTTTCCTTGCAGGATAGCAAGCTGGGTAACTAAGTTTTGTGTTTGGTTTCTCTTCACCTCACTGTTATAGTTCAATTTCTAACCGTCTTCGGGGTATCTATTCGCCCTAGGAAACATTTTAACAAAAAGAGTTCATATAAATACAATTATAATGTATGCCTTTGTTGTAAGTACTACAAAAGTTATCAGTTTTGCCTATAATGTCGCATTTCTAAGATGACACCACAAATGAAATATCTAGATAAATAATAGCGAGCGGGAATTTCCGTTTTCCAGTCCAGAACAATGAAATAACAGTAAGTAAAGCTGGCAACAAGTTTTTGTTCGCACTTCCATTTCTTACCTTTCCACAGCAGAAGAAGAAGCAGCGTCTTCCAGAGGCGACACCCCAACGGCGCGCCTCCCTTTCTCCCGATCGTCTCCATCCCTCCAGTCGATAAAAAACCCCACGACTGTTCGCAATAAGGATTCAAAGGGCAATGTTTTAATTTCTATATTTCTTTCTCCTTTTGTTCCCACAGAAAGATTACTATCGCATTGGTGCCATCAATCTCATTTTCACCAAACTGCGCTCCCGCTGTGCTTGACCTAAGACACCGAGCAGATGAGATTTGGAGTAAACTATAAATCCTTCTTCAGTCAGTAATAAAGAGGAACCCCCCAATGGGCAATTCCGGTGCAAGCTGGCTTCTTTTTTTAATCCGCCTCCCCCTAAAAAACTCTCTCTCCTTCAAGTCAGAACCGATGAATGAATGAAATTCCCCGTAGTGAGCTTTTTTCCACCAGTGCGCTTCTCTGCCTTATTTATCCATACGGGACGGTTAAAGCTGACGGTTAAAGCGCTGTTCTCTTTGCCTTTGTCGCAGTTTTCTTTCTTGCAAAGTTTTTAAAATATTACCAGAGGGTCACACGAAGTCCCGAAAAAAAAGTGCACTTCACAGTGGACTTTGAAACAGTAAAAAGCAAAGACAAATCTGTCATTTAGGGCTCGCTTAATAAATTAAAATCCAAATTTTGCTCGCTCGGCAGCAGCTCCGTCCACTCTCCTTTCTTTTCCCTCTCTACCTTTCCTCCGACTATCGTCCTCTTGCTGTAAGTGTTGTCTTGTGTGTGCGCGTCTGGGTTCAACTTAAGAGTCTGTGTACACTCGTCCGTGGGATGGAGTGAGGAGAGGACAGAAGAGGAGGTCTGAAGCTTCCACCAGCCGGCAGAGGTAGGAGGAGGAAGAGGAGGAGAAGGGGGGCTAACAGCGACTGGGGCAGAGGAGGGTGAGGGATAAGGGCGGGATTTGGAGATTTGAATGACAGTAAAGTAACCAATCGAGTGTATAGAACTTTATTTAGATTTTTTCTTTTTTTCCGAATTGTTTTATAAGATGCATTAATATGTTTTTTCCTTACTTTCTTAATACTGGGTCATTGTGGTAAAGAAACAAATACCCACACTGCAACAACAGGAACTCTTTAAGAGGATAGATTTTGCTGCTCTTACAATAATAATGAAAACACGGGAAAATTAGCTGCAGGTGATCTACAATAACACATCAGTGCGGAGGAAACAGGTTAAGGATATATCCAAGAATAATGGAGCTTCTGATGTTAACGAGATTAAGAAAAAAAAGTTTACAATATGAATATGTCCTATAAGAAGAGGCCTATTTCTCCGCGTTGTTTGTGTGTATTGGTCTCAGCGAAGTGCGTGCACAAAGTCTCTCCCTGCATTATTCATACAAAGACACACGCTACACCTGTTCTCTCCGTAATCGATAGAAGACAACTTCGCACGAGCACCCACCTATACGCACGCACGCGCGCACCAACCACTTTAACTGGCAGCTTGCACAACTGCTGAATGTGATCCATCAAGCACCTTGTGATAAAACTCATTCACTTTATATTGATAGGATCACTCTGTGTGTGTGTGTGTGTGTGTGTGTGTGTGTGTGTGTGTGTGTGTGTGTGTGTGTGTGTGTGTGTGTGTGTGTGTGGGACAGAGGGATGAACAAGTGAGAAGAGAAAGAACATTAGGCTCTTCTTTGAGTCCGAGATGATATTTCATATGGCAGCATCCCTGGTTCCCTTTGTCAGCTAAACGTGTAAAAGCTAAAGAGATGACATTGTGACTTATTGAATTGCAAATCAGTCAGGGAGAGGATGGGAGGATTTCCGGAGACGGAGATAGTCCTACGTGAGCCTTACTGCCTCTCTGCCTGTCTATCTGCTTGTCTGTCCAGCGACACGGCAATACGCTAAGGAGGAGCGACAGCCCCCCCTAGTGTCGCATTTAAAGAAGAAAGTCCAAGTGGCAGACCCCGCTGTCCATTCATCATTAACCTGTCTTTAATTAGCAGTGGGCCTACATGTGATTATCACTGAAGAAGCCCTGCTGCTGATGTAAAATATCGCTCTGTCACTTCTGTCTGTTCCTTTCACAGTGCTTACCCATGTGTGCTTCATTGATCCGACATGCTGTTTCTCCACTTGTCCTTTTCCTTGCTCCCTCACTTTAACCAAACACATTTTTCTGGCCTCTCAGTCACAAGGCAGTAACATCCACAGCATTCAAGCAACTGCCAACCCAACTACATTATAGTGCAGAACTGAATCAGTGCATTTTAAATTATTGTTATAGTGTCAAGTTATGGGGGTTTTTTTTCAGCTAAACTATGCATCTTGGGGCTACAGCTAAAGCAGATAATTAGTTCAGTAAGCATATGGTAGAAACAAGTAATATTTTTTACAATATTAATGTCTGGATACCAGTGAGGCCCCCACTGGTTGTAGAAAGTAAATTTGATACTGATTAATAAATTCAGATGCGACAAAAAATCTGTCTAAAAAAATCATCCTGTAGAAATAACAAAAGATAGATCATCTTAGTGTGTTCTGATTAAAAAACACAGCCACACAGGGTAATTTGAGAGCAAATAAATACTTTTCTTTTCTCCTTCATTTCAGTTGTCACTATTACAAATAAAATTTAGGAACGGAAGGAAATATTCACTAAAAGGAAGGCATTCATCACCAAGACTGCACTGTAATTATTAAGGGTAATTACTAACTAACTATAATTCAACAGCTGATTGCAAAAATGTGGTACTATAGTAAAACAATGCAATGATTTGCAAACCACCTAAACACTACAATTATTTGTGAGATATAGATAGATAGATAGATAGATAGATAGATAGATAGATAGATAGATAGATAGATAGATAGATAGATAGATAGATAGATAGATAGATAGATAGATA